GTACGAGGTTATGGAAACCCCCTCTGGTGGTTGCGGGAGTTTCGAGATGTAGAAGTTAAACAGTAGCGGGGAGAGGACACCACTCTGCGGAAACCCTTGTTTAATTCTTCTCAGTTACATGTTGCACCTCCAATAGTGCGGATGACTGATGACCGTTCAGATAGTTCATGGTCCACCTCTTGAGCCCTGGAGGAAGCGTGGTTTTTTCAATGTCCTGCAGGAGCGTTTTGTGGTTGACCGTGTCAAAAGCTTTTGACAGGTCCAACACTAAGAGGATCGTTCTCTCACAGAGTGGTTTCTGGTTAAGGCAACGGACTATCTGAGCGTTTATGACGCTAAGTGCTGTGGTGGTACTGTGCACTTTTCGGAATCCATGCTGGTGGCTGGCTAGGCTCAGGTGGTGAGTGAAGGTCGGGAGTAACAAGGCCTCAAGKGTCTTCACTACTKGGGAGAGGAGAGTTATCGGTCGATAAGATTCCCCTTTGTTGGCGGGTTTCCTAAGTTTCAGTAGTGGGACCCCTCTTCCGACTTTCCACACATCGGATATTTGAAGAGTGGTCAGCGACAGGTTGAAGACCTTGGTGAGATATCTTACTCCCGTCGAGCCTAAATGCTTTAGCATTAGCATGTTGATTCCATCAGGGCCAATGGATTTGGCAGATTTTGCTTTGTTGATGACACCCTGAACCTCCTCATCGGTGAAAGTAAGTGGCGCGCCGTCGTTTGGCATTTTTCGCAGCCGTCGGTTAACACATCGTTTGGCTTTGTCTGCCGTAGGGTGCAGTGAAAACTGCCGGCTAAAATAGCTCGCGCACTTCTTCGGGTCCGAAGAGGCATGACCATTGAATTGAACTTCAACTCGGTCGTCGTGACTTTTCGGATTAGACAAAGCTTTGACAGTAGCCCAAAGCTTACTCACACCGGTGGAGAGGTTGCAGGACTTCAGGTGCTCTATACATTTCGTCCGCTTATGATGGTTTACCATACGCCGAATCTCCAAATTGAGATCCCTTATTCGGGGCTCGCCGGGATTGGCATGGCGTAAGGTGTCGCGCTCATTAGCTAAAACGGTTGCTTCGGCTGGGAAGTTGGGGCAGATTTCCGCTATTCGTCCAGCTGGGATGAAGCGAGCGGTAGCTGTTGCGATCACCTTGCGAAATTGACGTTCGCCAACGCATACGTCCTTAGGAATGGGTAGAGCTTTAAAGGTCCTCTCAGTAAATTTTGTGAAGCGAACCCAGATAGCTTTGTTAAAGTTAACGAAGGTACGGTTGTCCACAGAAACGAAATCGGCAGGTTTCTCGATCGAGATAATTATGGGCAGATAGTCTGATGCGAGAGTTAGCRTAGGTCGCCAGGTTATGCTATTTATCAGACTACCACTAGCGATTGTAACATCGGGCGAGCTACTACAGATGCCCGTAACTCTGGTGGGGGCTTCGTCACTCATTGTGCAGAATGTCGAATCGTCAATCTGTTCCGCCAGCTCCATCCCCCTACGATCAATTGACAGGCAGGAATGCCAAAGATCGTGGTGCGCGTTAAAGTCGCCTAACACCAAACGGTTTTCACCACGAAGTAGCGCACCTATATTCGGGTGATATCCTGTAGGACAACATGTAACTGGAGGGATGTATATATTAAATATTTCGAGCTCGACATMGCCTGACCGGATAGCTTTGCCCTGACATTTTAGGATAGTATCCCTGCGGTCGATTTCCACAATTCAGAGTGGGAGCGATGTTGCCCAGTTAAGCTCCTGGGGACCGTGGAGGTCCTCTGTTGGCCASTCAGGATGAGTGGCGGCGCAGCGCGCGAACTGTGTGCAGATTGCACAGCCGTAGAGGTTAGCGTCGCAGTATTGCGTAGGCAACATGAGGCCACGTAACGCGTGGTCCACTCCCTATGAGTCTTAAGGCCTCAGCAGGTCTTAAGATGACTCCATCCATTGCATGTGTTGCACGTGACCGAGATGGTGTTTGGATGGAGCTGTTTTGCGCATACACTGTAGAAAAATTCCTCCGGGCCCGGGTTGGACTCAATGCTGGCACGAGTCAGGAGGATACGGAGCAACCCTGCGGCAAGGCGTTGCTCCAATAACGACAAACACGAATTAATACTCACCAATCCAAACGGGGTTAGATCCTACCCTTGGTAGGATGAGATCCGAGTCAATTCCGGTACGTGGAACCAGCTGTCGTGGGAACKGTATGTACATTTACTAATGCAGTATGATATGAAAATATTGTTTGAATATTTTGTTGTTGAATAATTTACTTATTTTTGTTAAAAAATAGTAACTTCTTAACCTTTGGTGCTGCTCTCTCCCCAATTCGGCCTATTCAAACAGCTTTGTCCAGTTTTCTGTACCAGGCCTCAAGCAAACGGGCAGAACTTATGGTGAAACCCTGCGCTTCCATGTAATCGGATGCATGCTCCATTGTGTTATAATTCTTTCTCTTACTACCTAGCACATTGCACATTGAAAAAAGATAGCCGAGTTAAACAAATAATTTAATTCTATTCGATATAATAAAGGATCTTGGAACGCCGATTAATTCGTACTGTACAAAGGGTTTGTTGATGTGCAGAGTATCGACGTATCGCCAATATTTTCGGAGCGGGAAAATCTACGGTTGCAAAATTTTGTTGAAATTTCGCAACGAAATCTGGAGACTACTGCAACCATACCGTCTCAAAATGTTGCGGCTAAATAGAGAAAGTATATCTAAATTGGTGACTGGTTTCGAGATACTTGGATTCCAACAATGCTTAAGAGCAATTGGTAAATATTAGTCATAAAGCCTTAATTTTGCGCCAATGGTCTAACACTTCTTTACAGACGACTGTCACATTGAGGTTTACCCATCATCTGACGAAGCTGTGGATTATTAAAATTACAAAGGGTAGTATTCCACCGTTTTAATGGCATTATTTGATACTGGGCAAATTCTAGAAACTCAATATACATATACTTTTGCTTCTCCATTGTTTTGTAAACAAATATCAAGAGACAATTTAGGGCATCGATTATAATGAGTGGAATGTAAATTTTCAACGACAACTGGTTTTTAATGTGTTTTCGTGATATCTGAATCACATGTCGCATAAGTGTATAGTGAACTGCCAGCCACAGCTAACCACTTTTCTCAAATTTTTTCAAATACTTCAATACAACTACACTAACACCAACGCACATATTCGTTTTTGTTTTTTTGTTGTTTACCTAGATGCGTTGAAAAGCGGTTTCTTTCATTTCGTGATTTATTTGAATGAGTGCGAATGAGAAAACAGAATTGTCAATAGTGCCAAAAGAAAATCCCAAAAAGCATGTGATTCGCGCTAGTGCAACAAGAAGGTAAGTAAGTGATTTTTATGTGATTTTTTTTTAATAATTTGCAATTGATTACTTCATTTGTTTTTAAAGCAATGGAAATCAGAATAATTGGAAATAGCAGCAGCAGCAATACCATCATAAGCAACAAATATCAATTGTTAAGTAAGTATGTGAAAAAAGTGTGTGCTGTTTGAAATTGGACTGCGCAGTCCAAAATAATACGCAAAAATAAATACAAACATGTGTATGTATTTTATGCGTTTAAGGCGGCCTACACAATACAATATTATATGTGAAAACAAATGTTTGTTTTATATTTTAAATGATCAAATAATATTTATCTTTTCTTTTAGATGTTATTATTATTTTTACTTAATTATTCTTTCTTTCCAGATGTTATCGCAATTTTTATGTAATTTTATTTAATTAATCTTAATCAGAGTAAACTCTATTTGTATTTAATATATTTTATTTTTTCAGATAATATTAATCTTTTCTTTCAGATATCATTTATACAATTAATCTTTCTTTTTCTTTTAGATATTACAAATTCAATGTAATTATTATTTATTTTCAGCTGTTAATAAGCTTTATTTTGTTTCAATATTTTTCCTGATATTTGTCTTTTATTTTCAGGTATCAATAATGTTTCTCTTTAATAAATCTTTTTTCAGAGATTAATTGTTGTTTAAAATTAAATATGTTTTTATTTATATAAATTATAATAAATTTTATATGAATATGTGGAAAATAAAATAAAATACAAATTTTAAAGACTAAAAAGTTTTGTTTGAAATTTTAAAAGTAGGATTCAAAAAAATGCAATCCTGCATCAGCAACAAAAGAAGAAGAAGAGAGACGGCATCTTTCCCGATTACCTAGCCGAAAAGCGGCCGCGCAAAGAGCTCTGAAGAACCAATAGCAGAGAAGCAGACTCAACAACAAACGAAACGAATATGTTTCAACTCGCCATAAACCCGGGCGAGAACAAATCTGATTGGTCAGTTTAAGCKATCAAATATGATGAAGAACAGTGTCAATACTAACAAATTAGAGTTGCTACCAGCAACTCAGTTGGGTACGCAAGCATCATAAGAGGCTAACTGCTACTCTCTGAAACCAATAAAGCAACCGTGGAACATTGTAGCTAGGAAAGCTAGCCTAAAGACTACGAAATTGCCGAAGACAAAACCCCAGACCATATTGATCTCAAAAAATGGGAATCTTACTTATGCTGAAATCCTACGCAAGATTAAGACTGACGCTAATCTTAATGCATTCGGAAACATGGTAACCAAAATACGCAAAACACAAGGTGGAGAAATGCTGCTACAACTAAGTGGTACAGTAATACCAACAGACTCGCACGAAAATATGAAGAAATGCCTTGGCGACCAAGCAAACGTTAAATTGTTGACCCAGGAGATCCTACTTGAGTGTAAAGACTTGGATGAAATCACCAGTAAGGAAAAGGTTCTCTATGCTTTGCAATCGCTGAAAAGCAGATAGATTTGGCATTACTCAGCGAACCATAAAAAACCGGGAGGAGTGAAAATTGGTGACACATATAATAAGGCTGCGGTATGGAAATATAACACTAGCTTTCCTCAACTAGAGTCTACACGCTCCTTCAGCGGCTTTGTTCGAGCTAAAATCAGCGACATACATATTTATAGTTGCTATTTACCTCCCAGCATCAGTGATGAAGAATATAAGAATAATATCGACAGCATTGTGACCGATGCCCGAGGTAGAACCAAATTGGTAATAGTTGGCGATTTTAATGCCTGGRCTATTGAATGGGGATGCAAAAGAACTAATAGTAGGGGCAAAGTCTTACTAGAAGTTTTTGCTTCCCTTGATAATGAGCTACTCAACACAAGTAACCAATGCACGTTCAACAAAGGCGACCGACAGTCAGTTATAGACCTTACTTTCGTAAGCTCAAGCCTAGTTCGTAGATCGCAATGGCAAATTAGCGATCAGTATACTTTGAGCGATCACTATGCCATTATATTTGAGGTAAATGCTCCGCAAACACGGCTTCACTTACAGACCCTTACAAGAAGTTCATGGAGACCCAAAACATTCGACCCAGACCTCTTCGAAGAAGTCTTTGGACTCGCTGCTCTGCCTGACAACTTGCGGTCAGCTAACGAGGCGTCTCCATTGGTTATGAGCCGTATTAAGAGTACATGCGACATATCAATGTTGAAGCTTCTACGGCGCAATCATCATCCCCCCGTTTACTGGTGGAACGACTCAATTGCTAAACTGCGAAAAGAATGTCAAAAAGTAAGACGCTTATCTCGTGGTACCTACGAATACAACTCTCTACAAGTAAGTTTCAAGACCAAGAGAAAGCTAGTGAAACAGGCTATCAAAAAGTAAACGGGAATATTTTCTCAAACTATGTGAAGATGCCGAAAACAACGTTTGGGGGCTTGCATACAAGACCGTAATGGGGAAACTACGCATTCGAGGTCAAATGCCAACTTCCTCTACAACCCTTGACAGAATTGTTTCAGTCCTTTTCCCGACCCGACCAAAACTACCTCGAGAGATCGCGGTGGTGCAACAAAGAGAGTTGGTACCAGAAGTAACGAACGAAAAGGTTATAGAGGCATGCGACCGTCTTGTCCCTCATAAAGCCTCAGGACCAGACGGCATCCTAAATATTGCGCTTAAAACAGCTTTTGCTAAGAATATAAACCCATTTAGAGTACTTTTCAATTTATGCATGCAGGATGGCTGTCTCCCAACAATCTGGAAAAGGCAAAACCTAATAGCTGCCAAAACCTAACAAACCTCTACCGACAACTCTGCATGTTGGACTCTGCAGGAAAAATCCTTGTGCGGATCATTTATAAAGCTTAAGTAAGGCCCTTCACGGCGCCGGCGGTTTATTTCCAAACTAATTTGGATTTAAGAAGGCAAGGTCAACAATCGCAGCGGTGACCCTAGTGAAGACACTGGCAGAAAATGCCATCAGAGGGACAAGATGGAAAGGTGGCACTATCAAATACTGCATGTTTGCAACCCTCGATGTCAAAAGTACCTTCAATACGCCATAATGGCCAAGTATACTAAATGAGTTAAAAATCTTCTCTGAATCGGCATATCTCTACAACCTAATAGTCAGTTACTTCAACGAT